TGCTGCTCAATGTGAAAGCCCGCACGTGATGGAGATTTACCGCTGATTACAGAACCGGCTTTCTGACAAGATGCGCATTAAATATCGCATGCGATTTATCGTGCAGCCCTAATAGAAAGCCATGCAAAGTTAAAACAGTTTAAACTTTTAGAAAACACGTCGCGAATTTATGGAGGTTTTCATATGTTTTTAAATGCTGTCTGTGTGATCGGCGCTTCAGCTCTTTGGATTAAGCAATGCATAAATACATGATGCTGTTTTGTTCATAACTGTTTATGCAATTTACGAAATTATATTTGATTTATATGAGTTAATTTAGACGTAATGCAGGTTTTTTTATAGACATGTATTTCCTTGCGTTGACAATTTAGATGTGCTGCATTATTTTGCTCATTGCGTCCTCCTGTGGCCTCGGGAGACAAGCCAAAAGTTTCCTTAAAACCTATTTAAGCTGCATATAAAACATTAGAAATGAGATATTTGTTTAATTTGTATTGTGTGTTTGACTGTTAAAACAAAAAATATTTGTTGTTTGTCTCAATAAACTGGGTTAATTTAAAAATACAGTGGTTAAATAAAAAAAATAAATTCTATTGCTCTTTGTTTTACAAAAGGTTATAAAAATGTCAATAATTATCGATACCGAACGATATAAAACATTATATCGTTGATAATTTTTTTAGCTACATCGCCCAGCCCTAGTTCTTATTAACTAAAACAATTTACAACAACTAAAAATCGTTTCCAGAAAAATGAAATAAAATGAAACAAATATTAGATGAAAAACATAAATGAAAACTATAAATACTGCATTGTCAAGTAACTGAGATGAATAAGTATTAAAATTCAAACCGAAATTAATAAATGAAAGCTATCAAAATCAAAAACTAATAACAATGGCAAAGGCACATAATAAAAATTACTAAAACTAAAATTAAAATAAAAACTGAAAATATAAAAATAAAAGCAAATTAAATATTTATCGACGGTACACCTTCTTCGATAACGATATAAAACATTTTTTATATAGTGCTCGATATAGGCTCTGAGTGACGGAGACAGCACACACAAACACATGCTGAAATGAGTGCTGTGCTGCCTGTGATGAGGAGATTGTGAATACAAAAAATTAATATTAGTCAATTTAAAATAAACATTTGCATCTGAATGTTAGGTGTGCGTCAGGGAGCGTAATCAGTGGTGCACGAGATGCGGTGATGATGATGGAAGTGGCGTTGCATTTGAATGTTTTGTTAGTCTAGCCCACGAGACGCGCCGCTGCTGCGTTATTCATTCAAAATATTAGAGAAATAAAGAAGCTCAATGCAGAGAAGATCTTGATTAGGTTAAAACCGAAACCAAGCCATTCACACAGAACGCATATTCAGCAAATTTTTTAGACGGACAAATATGACTGCTGCACTCGCGTCTCAGAGAAGAGAGCAGCATTAACTACACAGAGCCGTTGTTCACTGACGAGCTGCGCAAAACCACGTTCATATTCGCGCGATTTTTTGCGCAGCTCGTCAGTGAAAAACGGCTCTGTGTAGTTAATGCTGCTCAATGTGAAAGCCCGCACGTGATGGAGATTTACCGCTGATTACAGAACCGGCTTTCTGACAAGATGCGCATTAAATATCGCATGCGATTTATCGTGCAGCCCTAATAGAAAGCCATGCAAAGTTAAAACAGTTTAAACTTTTAGAAAACACGTCGCGAATTTATGGAGGTTTTCATATGTTTTTAAATGCTGTCTGTGTGATCGGCGCTTCAGCTCTTTGGATTAAGCAATGCATAAATACATGATGCTGTTTTGTTCATAACTGTTTATGCAATTTACGAAATTATATTTGATTTATATGAGTTAATTTAGACGTAATGCAGGTTTTTTTATAGACATGTATTTCCTTGCGTTGACAATTTAGATGTGCTGCATTATTTTGCTCATTGCGTCCTCCTGTGGCCTCGGGAGACAAGCCAAAAGTTTCCTTAAAACCTATTTAAGCTGCATATAAAACATTAGAAATGAGATATTTGTTTAATTTGTATTGTGTGTTTGACTGTTAAAACAAAAAATATTTGTTGTTTGTCTCAATAAACTGGGTTAATTTAAAAATACAGTGGTTAAATAAAAAAAATAAATTCTATTGCTCTTTGTTTTACAAAAGGTTATAAAAATGTCAATAATTATCGATACCGAACGATATAAAACATTATATCGTTGATAATTTTTTTAGCTACATCGCCCAGCCCTAGTTCTTATTAACTAAAACAATTTACAACAACTAAAAATCGTTTCCAGAAAAATGAAATAAAATGAAACAAATATTAGATGAAAAACATAAATGAAAACTATAAATACTGCATTGTCAAGTAACTGAGATGAATAAGTATTAAAATTCAAACCGAAATTAATAAATGAAAGCTATCAAAATCAAAAACTAATAACAATGGCAAAGGCACATAATAAAAATTACTAAAACTAAAATTAAAATAAAAACTGAAAATATAAAAATAAAAGCAAATTAAAAATATCAATATATATATGTTAACAGTATGTAAATAATACTAAAACACCACACGCACTTTACAATAAGGTCATATTTGTTAACATTAGTTAATCCATTCGCTAACAACAACAACTAACAATGAGAAATATGTTACAGAAAAATCGGTAACATTTAAAAAATAAATTAGTAAATGAAATGTTGAAGTTAAAATGTACTAAGATTACTAAATATTGTAGTAGTAGTTCATTGTTAGTTGACTTAGTTCATCTTTACAAGTGAAGCCCTTATCATGAAGTAGTACCCAAAATTATACATAACAACAACAACACTCATATTATTAATAATACTAATACAATTCATAAAATAAACCAATAAACTAAATATAAACTTATTTAAAATTATAATGATGACTAAATGTGAAGAGTTCGCACTATATACTAAATGAAGAGTATCAACCCTCTACTACTGACCAATAAATAATTTAATAATTAAATAATTAATACAATAATTTAAACATTAAAATAAAGAAACTTTAAAAGTTTAAAAAACAATTTATGAAAAAACTGCTTTCAGAAACTATTCATGAGATAAATATTAGGACTGAGAAAATTAATCGATGCATCGGGAAACGAGAAATAATTCAGCATCGATTCTGAGATTTTCCGAATGCATCGCGATTCTTTCTCGAGTCGATTCTGAGCTTAGTTTTGAGCAGCAGATGGCGCTGCATGCTTTAAAAACAGCTGTACTCTGCTTGTTTTTCAAATCCTAACACACACTTGAACCAAAAAATAATCATTCATAAAATTCGAAAAGGTTAAAGCGAATTACAAAGAGTAATCTGGAGTAAAGAACATAGTCTTGTAATTAATGTTAGTAAAACAGAGGAAATTATCTTTGATTATAAATCAGTAGGCAATCACTCACCTATCATGATTAACAACAAGCCTGTTAGACAGGTTGCATCATACAAATATTTAGGTCTGCTTATGGATGATAAACTTTCATGGGAGGTACATGTGGATAATCTGTGTAGAAGGGTGCAACAAAAAATGTACTTTTTGAGGAGGCTTAGATTATTTGGGGTGGCTCAGAGGGTCAAGTTGTTGTTTTATCATGCCTGTATTGAATCCATCTTACTGTATGGTATAGCAGCCTGGTTTGGTCATTTGAAAGTTACTCTTAGAGCTCAGCTGAACCGTTTGGTGTGTACTGCTATGAAAGTGGTTGGTCTGAGGGTTTATCCCAATTTTCAGTCTGTTTTTAATAAGGTTATTCTTAAACAGGCAATGAAAATGACTCGGGACCCTTCTCATGTGCTTCAGCAAGAATTTGAATTACTTCTATCTGGTCGACGTTTTCGTATTCCGATGTCTAGATATAACCGTTATAAAAACTCTTTTGTTCCTTTGGCTACAAGGCTGTTAAACTCTGATTCAGGGGACACAACTGTGTGATTGTTATTTTTGATGTTGGTACTTTGTTGTGCAGTTTTACCTGTATTGCCCAAAACAAATTTCCCTCTTGAGGGACAAATAAAGTAAAGATTAATTTACAAGGGTGTTCACATTGGGCTGTGTTTACATTAATCTTGCGTCATAAAAGCATTTTGAGCAGAGGTGGAATTACATGACTCAGCCGAACGCACAAGCGCTCTTTAGCACTCTTCTTCATGAGCATTCGAGCGTGCGGATAAAAACTAGATTAGAGTGCCATCTGCTGTTAAAATCTAAGCTCAGAATCGATTCCAGAGAGAATCGCGATGCATTCGGAAGATCTCAGAATCGATCCATGAAACGAATCTGCATCGATTTATCTTCGCAGCCCTAATAAATAAATATATATATATATAAATAAATACAGCATGCATTTTTTTTAAAAGGAGGGGGGTGGAGGGGTGTAAGGGCGGTATTGGCACGGTGGTTAACCAAAAAAATAAAAAATGGCCCTTGATGTCCAAAAGGTTGCAGACCCCTGATCTAGTGGATGTAAACACAGACCTGCAAGATCAATACTTAAGTGCACTAGATGGAATATCAGAACGCACCCCCAAACATAGTACTTTTAGAGGCAGATGTAATGCACCTATATTCCTATAGACAGAAAAAGCCAAAGTGTGTCCTTGTCACTCCAACCAAAGCAGCTGTGGACTCACATGTTGCTCTTAGTCTCCTCACATCTCATTTATCTCACGTCAGTATAGCAGAAAGAAAAAAAAGCAACATTAGTATCTTTTACCGGTTCGTCACTTCAGAAGGCTGACGCACGTTTCTGCATGCAAATGTGTTGCGTGAAGCTTCGCTCGAGTCTTAAGCTGATCAAAGCTGCTGTTGCTCTCGAACTCGCGAGGAGTCACCGTGTGCAGTGCGGCGAGGAGGACGGAATCAGTATTCGGGACGCGCGGACAGAGGGAACGTGACAGGTTACGCCAGGAAGCGTCGACAGTCAAACATCTGCATCGGGAGGAAGGCTGAATGCAAACGCACTCACTTGATGTAGCAGTCACGGGTCTCTCTAGAAGACGACATCTCCCAGCCATTGGAGGGTCCCTGTGCGGACGGCCAACTCCCAACAGCCTGCGGCGGACAGCAGGAGGACTTGATCCTCTGACTGCAAGACAAACACATGACCACAGGGGTCAGGAGAAGACGACAGAGACACTGTGAGGAGGACAAACCGTGTTTAGACTGTGCTTCATATAACACAGTCCGTCTCAAAGCAGCTTCACAGTAATAAACAGGAAAATAATAGTGAGAATGTGGCAAAATTCATCCATCATCAAATAAAATTCACAATAGTTGTCATTATTCAATGCTGATTCAATTCAGTTCAGTAACTGTCAATGTTGCAAAATTCAATCAATTTGACAAATTCAATGCAGTTTTAAAGTAGCTCTACTATATTGTCATTTGGCTCAATTCAATTGAAACGTTGATTCAATTCAGTTAAATAAATGTCAAAATTGCAAAATTCAATTCTCAACAACGTCATGATTCAACGTTTTATTAAGTTATAGTCAGTGTCAGTTGCAAAGCTCATCAATAATGAGACAAATTAAATTTCAGCTGAAAAGCAGCTCTACAGAAGCCAATAATTCATCTTAAAGGGTTAGTTCACCCCAAAATGAAAATTCTGTCATTAATTACTCACCCTCATGTCGTCCCAAACCCGTAAGACCTTTGTTCAATGGCAGAAGACGTCACTCGGGGAACAAGAATTGTTGAATAAAGTTGTTATTTTTGTTCTCTTTGCACAAAAAAGTGTTCTCGTAGCGTCGCAAAATTGAAGTTGAGCCACTGATGTCACATGGACTGTTTTACCGATGTGCTTACTACGTTTCTGGACCTGGGAACATTTTAGTTGCGTTGCAGTCTACAGAGAATCAGAGAGCTCTCGGATTTCATCAAAAATATCTTAATTCGTGTTCAGAAGATGAACGAAGGTCTTACGGGTTTGGAATGACATGAGGGTGAGTAATGACAGAATTTTCATTTTGGGGAGGATTAACCCTTTAATTCAGTTCAACATTGATTCAATTCAAAAGTGTTGAAGTTGCAAAATTTAATCAATTGTGAAACTAATTGACAAGTGCCATAATCAAGCTCAAACAAGTTCAAAAGTTGATTAAATTCAGTTCAATAACAGTGTCGATGTTGCAAAATTCAATTATGAAAAATTCTATTAATTTTAAAGCAGCTCTACAGAAAATGTCATTATTCATCTTGATTCAGTTCAAACGTTGATTCAGTTCAGTTCAATAATGGTGTTAATGTTGCAAAAAATAATTAATTATTAAACAAATACATACTAGTATCATTCCGCTTAATAAAACTCAAACAATGATTCAGTTCAGATCGAACAATAGTGTCAATGTTGTAAAAATGTATCAATTATGAAAGGAATTTACCATATTGCCATTCAACTCAGTTCAGTTCAGTGTTGATTCAATTCAGTTGAATAACTGTCAATGTTGCAAAATTCAATCAATTATGAAACAAATTCCCAATATTGTCATTACTCAGCTCAGTTCAATATTGATTCAATTCAGTTCAATAACAGTGTTAATGTTACAAAGTTAATCAATTATGAAATAAATTCAATTCAGTTTTAGAGCAGCTCTACTAAAGACAATAGTGCCAGTATTCAGCTTAATTCAGTTCAAAAGTTGATTCGATCCTGTTCAATAATAGTGTCAATGTTGCAAGATTCATCAATTATAAAACAAATATGATTCAGATTCAAAACAGCTATGCAGAAGATAGCAGTCCCATTATTCAGCTTAATTCAGTTCAATAAAAGTGTAGATGTTGCAAAATTCATCAATCACGAAGCTAATTCACAATATGTTCATTATTCAGCTCAGTTCAGTTCAATGTTAATTCAATTCAGTTCAAAAATAGTGTTAATGTTCCAAAGTTCAATTATGAAATGAATTCAATTCCAGGTCTACAGAAGACAGCAGTCAGTTGTACTGTAAAACAAAATTGTTTACCATGCAGCCCTACTTCCCATTATATTGAATATTGCTGAATCCATTTACTTTTTAATACTGAATGCAAAATAATAGCACATATATGGAGTTTTTAGCCATAGACTGTGGGCTTTTTTCTCCTCTCTAAAGCTGCAGAATATCAACCTCTAACAGCCTGGACTTCATTTGTGACAGTGATTTAATTACATTTATTATGTAATGCAATCACCCAAGCCTTTCATGATGAGTAACCGAACCGGACAGAGAAACACAAGCCACTCAGAAAGCCATCAATAAATGATCACCACGCCGTCGCACACTATTGAGGGAACATCAGCTGCACAATTCACGAAGAGCACTAAGCAGAGCAAGTGTTCAAAAACTGTGGATTATTCATGTTTAAAGGTGGACGTATGTTACAGCTTACTGTATACAAGTATGAAACTTGTCATTCTTCTGAGGTGAAGACTGCATTGTGATTAAAATAATACTGAAGTAGTGATTATCCTCGGCCTACACTGATTATATCAAGCTAGACAGATGTGCATAGCTATCAGTGGCGGGACTGCTTTGTGTTTGCATTGTAAAAAGTGACAAAAAAGCAACGTGAAAACATTTAAAAGAGTAAAAGAGGAATATTTTATGGACATTTCAAACACATCTATTATGAATCTAATCAGAATTCAAACTATCTGCGTCAGGGTCATTACAGTAAATTCAAACTAAAACCATAAAAAGTATTCAAATAAGTAAACATAACAAATAAATACAATTATAATTACATATGATTTTACATAAATTATCATTTAAATTTACATTTTATTTCGGCAAGTTGCCAAGGAATCATTTCTCATTTTCACTTTGTTTAACTTGGCGTACAAAGATAACTAAAACTAAAATAAAAATAGAAACTATAAAGGCATATCGTTAAAAAAATAAAAAATAAAACCTAAATCAAAAACAAAAATTTGAACTAAAATTAAGATTAAATCGGGAAACAAATATCATTCAAATTATTAATAAAAACAAGTAACACCGATCTGAACTAGTTGAGTTTTTTTTTTTTTGTCTTATTCATTTGTTAGCAATAATCTGATATTTTACTTTCTGTCCATCATGTCTGAGATAAAAAGAGATTTCTTTGAATGGATTATCTAAAATTATAATGTAATTAAATACATGGTTTTTTAAAAACTATTAGAAATCATTTTCGGTAAATGAAAAAAAAAAAGCTGAAATAAAATAACAATGACTACATCAAACTTAACTTAAAAGAAAATTAGAAATGTTGCTCCTGCAACTATCAAAAATAAGTTTAAATACTCAAATGACTAAATATGTAATAAAAATGAATTAAAGATAAACAGAAATATTGACAAAAGCACATACAATTACTAAAACTTAAAAAAATGGAAATTAAAAAAATAAAAGCTAATTCAAAATATTAAAAAATGCTATACTAGTATATAATTAATACCAACACTGATGTAAAATACGTGGTGATGTGGTTACTATGGCAAATAATTTCCTTCAACTGATGACCTTATGAATTTTATCATACAGATATATTTCACAACAGGGCTCACAATATGGCCAAAAAAATGATCACGATCATTTTTTTTCATATCAGTCGATATCGATAATTATCACGATAAATGTCAAAGGTTTAAAAGTTGTAAAAACCAGATAGTTACTTGTGGTTTTAAACTACTCTTTATGGTCAGAACATGACAAACACTTCATGAATTCTTTACACTTGTCCAGTCATTCTTCCTTAACGAAATAAATATCTTAATAGAAGATTTGATTTCTTAGTTTCTGCATGTTCTAATGAGTGATATTGCTTCAAATTAAGAAACAGGTTTGTGTTGCCTGTGTTGTATGAAAACCAGTATTCTAAATAGGCTACAGTTAATATAAATGCACAAACGCTATCGCTTAATCACAGAAAATACTGTAATTATATTCTATTACTCCTTTAATACATGTCTACATTCATAATATAATACAATTCTATACGAACTCCAATGTTTCTGACACAATACCATGGTGCTTTTAGTGTTATTACAGTAAATGATGGTTGATTTGTAGATTGAAAAGCCTTCACACAGTGTTTCTCCTGTTTGTCAGCGCTGTTTCATCAGCCTTTAAACTCGTTTAAATCAGCAATTCATTTGTGTTGTTCGCTGAATTCAAGTGCTTCACACTGGCTCTCACAGCGCTGTTTAGTGTTTGCGTAAACACATCTGCTCTGGTGAGCTTCTTCTTCTTTTTTCGTTTATTGGCGGATCGCGCCAGTTCTTGCGTTGCGCTGCTGTTTCGTCGAGCGGATAAACGGTCCGTGTGTCACGGTTCAAATAAGTCACGCTGTTTTGTTCCGCTTTTGGTGCATAATCATTATATCAAACATTTATCGAACTCTTCATATCGTTTTATCGCGATATAATTATATCGCGATAATTATCGTTATCGGTTTATCGCCCAGCCCTATTTCACAATCCTTCTAGTTTAACAGCAGAGTGAAAGTTGCTGAAATGACTGATGTAGCATAATATGTAAATGAAGCTGGTAAAGCAGGATCTGTTGCCATGGCAGCAAAAGCATCTGTCTGTCTGAGAGGAGAACTACAATCAAAGGAATATCTAGTAATTAGTAGCCTGACGTACTAGTATATAATTAATACCAACACTGATGTAAAATACGTGGTGATGTGGTTACTATGGCAAATAATTTCCTTCAACTGATGACCTTATGAATTTTATCATACAGATATATTTCACAACAGGGCTCACAATATGGCCAAAAAAATGATCACGATCATTTTTTTTCATATCAGTCGATATCGATAATTATCACGATAAATGTCAAAGGTTTAAAAGTTGTAAAAACCAGATAGTTACTTGTGGTTTTAAACTACTCTTTATGGTCAGAACATGACAAACACTTCATGAATTCTTTACACTTGTCCAGTCATTCTTCCTTAACGAAATAAATATCTTAATAGAAGATTTGATTTCTTAGTTTCTGCATGTTCTAATGAGTGATATTGCTTCAAATTAAGAAACAGGTTTGTGTTGCCTGTGTTGTATGAAAACCAGTATTCTAAATAGGCTACAGTTAGTATAAATGCACAAACGCT